CTTTCGAATTTATAGGATTTTTTTGTTGTTTCCCATTCGGAACGCGCAAAACGAAACGAGGGGATGGATTTTTATTTAAAGGTGGCTTATTTAAAATTATCCAAGATAGTAGAAGTAAACAATCTATTTTCAACCGACGAAAAAACGGAGGAGGTACTCAAGTCGACTCATATACTTTTTTTTGATTATTCTTCTTATATTGGATAGGGAATTTCCCCGAAATTGGTCCCATATAAATTTGGAAAAGAAAATTTTACCCTAAAGGTGGGAAAATAAGTATGATTTATTACAGAGTAGTCCGACTTTGATAGTTCTTTTTTATTGGATAGGATATACCTCAAAATAGGTCCCGTATACATTTGGAGAAAAAATTCACACCCTAAGGGAGGGAAAATAGTGGAGATTAACTACAGAGTAGTCCGATTTTGATATTTACTTTTATATTGGCCTCGAAAATGATCCCATATTTTTTTATAGGAAAGGGGGCAAACGAGCATACGGCTCACCTGATGGTAAGTGATTACCGCTACCCATGAGCAACTGCAACACCAGGGGAATTGCAGATGCGTTGCCGGCCTTTTAAAAGAGAGAAGGCTCTTTTCTTGAAGGTCCCTAAGTCGTATCGGTCCGGAAAAATATGTGGTGATAGTCGATTCCACAAGGAAATTGTGCAAGGAAGAAAACTTCTTTTAAATTGCATGGTGGTGGACCTCCAGTCATCCAAATGGTATGGATGATATGGCGAGTTTTATCGAGATGTGCGATTGTGAAATTGTATGGCTGGAATTAGTCGAACAATAACCCAGAGTACTCCATATGGTAGATGCGATAAAGACGCAAAAAGATGTGACATCTCTTCGCAGTGCCAGTGAGTCGAGCTGATCGGAAAGAGCTGGGTCGCCAACGATTCGAACAGCTCTGCGCTGGATGCGATTAAATGGAAAGAGTTGGCACTGGGATGCCCCGGTTCAGAGATGGGAAAAGCATTCCATGTGGGGCCGAACCTGCGCCTTGTAAAGTTGCAGGCGGTGAGTCGGCATGAAATACTGTCCCGCTCTGCTGAGCACGCCAAGCTTTTTAGAGGCCAATTTGGCCTTATCTTCCAAGTGACCACGAAACTGCACGTCACACGATATGTCAACGCCGAGGATTCTGATACTGGCTGAGGCAGCAAGGGGAGTGCCTAGAAACTGAGGAGATACAAAAAAGGGGTTCTTTTTAGCGGTTAACGCGGAAACTTGTGTCTTCTGGAGGTTAAACTGGACTAGATTTAGTCGCCCCCAATCCGAGACTGTTTCAGCAAAGACTCGACTTCAGTCACAAGTTTGTCCCGGCACTCGGAGTCGTTTTCCCGAGAAATATTGGCTCGGCCGGTGTACAGAGCATCACCAGTGCTGTCATCTGCATAGCAATGAATGTTACGGGTTTGCAACGTATCATTGATATGCAGAAGAAACAGCGTTGGCGATAGCACGCAGCCTTATGGAACACCAGCACTAATAGGCTTGCAATCGGAGCTTGCACCGTCCACAACGACCTTGATGCTCTGATCTGCAAGAAGGCTGGTGATCCAATCGCACAATTTCTCGGGAAGCCCATAAGAAGGGAGCTTCGAAAGAAGCGCTTTGTGCCAAACCCGATCGAAGGCCTTCGCAATATCCAAACTAACGGCCAATGCCACCAACTTGAACTCTACTGCCTCCGCCCATCTATGAGTTAGGTAGACCAGAAGATCACCAGCTGACCGACCACGGCAAAAACCGTATTGGCGGTCACTTATCAGCTGGTGATCCTCAAGGTACCTCATGAGCTGGCAGTTAACAATAGACTCCATTGTTTTGGAGAACAAGGAGGTGATGGCGATAGGCCGGTAGTTGGACGGGTCGGAGCGGTCGCCTTTTTTAAGGATCGGGTGGACGAAAGCCGTCTTCCATGATTTTGGAACTACGTCTAGGGAGTAAAGTACCGGCAAAGAAGCGTTAAAACCGGTGCCAACTCTGGAACACACGTCCTCAGCACAATTGGGGGGATTCCGTCAGGCCCACTCGACTTGTGGATGTCCAGGGAGAGGAGTGCTTTGCGAACCGAGCGCTGTGTGAACTGCACACACAGCACTCACACCGCGGGATGGTCGGCGGCGTACTCCCCCCGTCATCGAGAGTCGAGTTGGACGCAAAGAAAGAGCCTAGAAGATCGGCTTTCTCCTTTGCGGTATGGGGCAGTGAGTCGTCCTCCCTGTGCAGAGATGGAAAAGATGGCTGACAGAAATTCCCCTGGACAGCCTTGGCGAGAGACCAGAATGCATGGGTTCCAGAAGGAAGGCGAACTAGTTTCTCGACAATTCACGTGCTTGCGTGCGTGCGTGCTTGCGTGCGTGCGTGCATGGAGAATGTTCTGAGGAATTGTTCGGATTAATCCCAGCCGCCAAATTTCGTGAACGCACTACGCGGCAAACGTTCCGATACCATCCACACCATCTGGATGCTTGGCGGTCCACCACAGTACGTTTCAAAAGGAGTTTTCTTCCGCGTACAACCTCTCTGTGGAATAGTTTACCACCGGCGATTTTTCCGAACCGATACGACCTGGGGACCTTCAAGAAAAGAGCTTACTCCTTTCTAAAGGGCCGGCAACGCACCTGCAATTCCCCTGGTGTTGCGGTTGATCATGGGCGGCGGTAGTCACTTAACATCAGGTGAGCCGCATGCTCGTTTGCCCCCTCTTCTATAAAAAAAAACGCACGCACGCACGCACACACGCACGCACGCACGCACACACACTTTCATTAATATATTTTTTAAGTTTTAATAAAAAATAATATAATGAAGTCATAATATTTGTATTTTTATCAGTGATTGATTTTTATGAGAGCACTGATTTCATTCGTAAATATATTGCGATGCTACAATTGATATATATTTACTGCCGTAAAAATTTCTCTGAGAAAACCTTACAATTTAAGTTATAAATTATCCGTACGAACCTCTTTGGCAAATATACCGTCTATAAGGTTTCAATGTCATAGCAATGTGCATAAGACATGACGCTATAAAAGTAACTAAAATAAACCAAACTACCTGTTAAATATTGGTTAAACTTCTTATCTATCTTACAGCATATGCTACAAAATTAAGTCTACTTGCTATGTTTGATTTATGAGAGCCCTCTTGGAGCATCGGGATAAGAAAAATTCCAAAAAAAAAAAAACAAGAATCCACAAGGCTTAACCCCTTTCCATTTAAGAGCACATTTCTATTCAAATGCTTAACATTAGTTATTGTTAATTGTATGTATTTTGTTTTGTTGCAGTTTAAAAGCAAATTGTTTGCGTTATATCAGCGTACTTATTTCAATTAATAGGTATTAATTTACTTTGTTTTATTTAATCAGGAAACACACCATCATCATCATTAGAGCCCTTCACAAGACTACTGCTGAACATAGGCCTCCCCCAAGGAATACCATAAAGCACGGTCCTGAGATACCTCGATCCATCGACTTCCCGCATGTCTTACCAGGGCGTCACTCCCTACACTTCGTCTACCAGTACGAGGTAGTCACTCGAGAAACTTTTCCCCCATGGTAGTCGGTACTTCGAGCGATATGGCCGGGCCATTGCCACTTCAGCTTACTAATCCGTTGGGCTTTGTCGGTAACTCTGGTGCTCGTGCGGATATACTCATTTCTAAGTTTAGCACGCAGAGAAACCTCAAGCATACCCCTCTCCATAGCTCGCTGAGCGACCACGAGATCCATAGGTCATAACTGGCAACATGCACTGGTTGTACGATCTCGTTTTCAGGTAATTAGGTATACCTTAGGAGAAGACGTGTTGGTTATTTCCCGAACGCTAACCAGCCGAGTTGAATCCGTTGATTCAAGAAATACCGTTTGCTGATTCGGAGTATCAGGTCACAGCCCTCGTCGACACACTCCCAATCTTTACAACGTTGTTGACGGGAGACTTGTGGACGACACCTCCTTGGGACAGATGGTCACCCTCCCGGTGATAGAACGAGTTGCCGTATTTAAGCATTACCATGTCCTCTCCCTCTCTTTGTATCCCGGATAATTCTATAAAATGGCAACGCAACTTATTTACCCCTTCTTCCAGCTCCAAGATCTTCTCGTCAGTTGTCAGTGTGCGTTCGTTACATGTTGCCAGGTCGAGTCGTCTTAGGCGGCAACCGAACCTCAACCGGAGATTCTTAGTACCCACTGCCCCGCAGATACCATGATCTCCACCGCAGCCAGGAAGAAACGGGCAGCTAGGGACTGGGGCCCGTTTATTTGTGTTGATGCTCATAGGGGGATGATTGCCATAGTTGCCACACCTGGCGGGTGGTTTGGCAACCGCAGTATCTAATTGTATAATTGCTGTTACCAGGAAGATGCTGCTGCCCATCTCCTGCCTGTCTCCCTCTGTCGCCTCTTACGACATCCACGGAAAAATATGGGGAAGTAGATATTCTCAACCGCAACCTCCCAGAGTTACATAAACATCATACATGGAAACAAACCACATTCATTATAAATATAAAAAATAATATCAAGATAAGAAGCCATTAAATATAATAAGGACGTAAGCACTTTAACGGAAATCACCTATTTCATATTTATACAAATAATGTCTTAATTGTTGATTTAATCTATTCCGAATATCTCAGATTTAGAATGTTACTTATTTTTCTTCCCTTTATTTTGGGTCACGACGACGATTACTATGTAACGTTATTTTAGCTACAAAAACTAATATATAAAATTTAATATGATAATTTATACATAACAAGTCCATCCATAGGAATATGAAGCAAACTAGACAGCAAGAAGTTTTCGGCTTTTTGTTTTGCTACATACCTTGTTGTTGGTACAGTAATGAACCTATGGCATTGATAACGACCCTTGAATAACATTAGCTTGAATCGACGATTTTTTGCTGTCGTGATGATGATCTATCTTCTAATTGTTAAGAACATGATTTTTTTCAGGATGGCTATGCAATGAGCATAAAAGCTGTGCATTTAATTAGTCCCTCAAAAACTGTAGAAACGCTAATTGAATTTGTCAAACCAATTCTCAGTGCAAAATTAAGTCAACGTATTCAAATACACAAAGATTTGAAATCACTACACCAGGTTGTACAAAGAGATGTGTTACCAGAAGAACTAGGCGGAAATGAGAGATCTATTGCTAAATTACACAGTAAGTTTTATATTATTATTACTATAATAATATGCTACCGTACCTACTTAATTGATATATTTAAGGAGTTAATTTTTAAACTTTTCGGCAAAACGTGGATATGTGAGATCACCAAGCATTTTCATCATGTCGAACAGTGCTTTATGCAGAGAAATTTAAGAATATAACGACTCAAGTTCTTTCATCAACAGATATATTTCTTGCGTTGATAGATTAGATTTTAAAGCAAAGCTTCTTTCGAAATGCTATATTATGTAATCAAGAAATCTTCTTCATAATGTTGGTAAAATTAGTTAATTCTGTTTGGGATGTGAAGGCGAAGAGAGATTGGCTGATGAATAATATCGTCCTGATCAGCCATGGCCGACATTAATGAACAGAAATATTCTTTTTAATTTATTGATTACTATGATTTACACTAACAACTCGGTATGCTCTTACAGAACAGTATGTAACAAAAAAAAATATTTTAGGGGAACTCATGAACGTTTTAAATATTTTAAAGTTTGATGTTTGACGCATTAAAGTTATGTATCAGAACTGCCAAAATAATGGTCCATTCCGAATCATTTTTGCGGAACGGAAAATTCCTTATTTGTTTCCTTGTTTTTATATTCGTCTTTCATTTCTAACAGTATTTGTGTGTGTGCAATAATGTACGTATTATTTCTTGCAGAAGAGTGGGTAAATGTTCTTAGTTCCAAGGAGTTTCAGGAGTATTACAGCGAAATGAAAACAGCTTCCACAAATGAAAAGTACAGACTGACAAATAAACTTAACGAAGAGTATATGGGAATAGCAGGCACATTTAAAACATTAAATATAGATTAGTGACTTTAACTTTTAGTTTATAAATAGTACCCGGATGAGCGAGCTTTGCTCAGTTTTTTAGTAATACAAATTACACGAATAATATTTTTTGATATTATTTACATAATAGAAAAAACTGAACTGGTTATTTGAATAAAAAATCTTTAGTGCAATTAGTTTAATTAAAATTTTCGTATTTTTAAGAAAAGGGCTCAAAATAGAAGAAGGGAACTTGAAAAAAAGGAAAAAAAGTCGAACCGAAGCGGGACGCGAACCAAGGTATTACGATTTCACGACCGCTCGATATCCACTTGAGCTATTACGATGATTAACAGAGTGTCAAAATTTACCGTCTTATATTGTAGCAGTTTTTCATTGCCTGAAAACTCGGACAAAAAGACATTTTATAAAAATAAATCCTAGTTAGTTTCTAATTTTATATAAATCCTACTAATTTTATGAAAATCGTTGGAGCCGTTTCAGAGATTCCGATTATATATATACACACAAGAATTGCTCGTTTAAAGGTATAGGATATTATTTGTATCAGATTCGTGTTGAAGGTAAAAAATTTAATTGTATCAAGTATGTATACTATTGTAAAATTATTAATACGTAAATAAAATTTATTTAGCTAAAAATGAAGTTGATTTTAACACGTATTTTTTATTCCTTCATTAAACGAAAACTACGACTAAGAGTCAATTTCGCTACAGTTTTCACGCTTTAATAACTACGAATTTGTACCTTTTGTAGTCTAGTTGAACTGTACGCTTATTTCTAAAGAAACTTTAACTTGTTTTCACCATCACAAAAGCCACGTGTCAGAGACAAGAGGAGATCAAAATTGAATTAAATACTCATCCAGGTAGCAATAACAGGTATCAAGCCCACATGCTTCATCACAAAACTATCTCATTCACAAAACTCCGGAAATGTTTTACCTGCATTTCTGAACAAAGAATTCAAGAAGCAAAATTTATACAAACATAACGGCTGTGGTAATCGCATTTTTGTGCCTTAAACGCCTTTATATATACCATAACTCTTGTATAATGCAAGCGTTGAGTAGCCTGTAGCGTTGCAGACACTAACTCTTGTGCTTTTAGAAGCCCATCGCAGAGGAGATACTCAGGGACTTTTAAAAAGAAGCGTCGTATCATTTAAAGCATAAGATAAAATTGTGTGTCCAAAGTAAATAAAGTTTATTAATGATTACCGAATTATCTATCAAAAATTTTCACTTGCTCGTGAATTTTTCCTTAACTTGTCTTATTTTTGTAACTCGTGTACTTTGACCTTCATAGTTAAAAGACAGACGATGATTAAAGTTTTAAAAACGTACATAAACATTGTCACGTAGTTGTGATATTGTCAAACGTGAAAACAGCACGTAGATGCGGTTCAGAAGGGAAATCGGTCTACAGTTATTTAACAGAACATTTTCGCCTTTCTTGGATAACAAGACCAACGCAATTCTGTTCCAACGTTGGGAGTTAGACCACCATGGAGGACAGAATTAAAGATTTTTAGAAAGACTTTAAGAACTGGTTTTCCACCTGCTTTCAGAAGCTCCACTGTGACTCCATCCTCACCCCGGGCCTTGTCATTTTTAAGGTGCTGGAGAGCCATTCTCATATCGCTCCGATTGACGTCCGAGATAATATCATAATAGTGTCGGATTAAAAGTACTCTTGGATTGTTACTCACATTTGCTCCAATTAACTTGTTACTCCAGTAGTGTATCCCACGATAGTACATAATAATGTTAATTGTAGTTATTAAGGAGGTAGTTTAATAAAACTTTTGGTACCAACAACACGTCACCTTCATTGACATCTTTCATACATTACATGGCGTATACCCTACCAGGCGATACACTTAGACCGGGAGCTGGTGACGGGTGACGTTCCACGATTTTGTCGTGCATGCCTTTTTAAGGCTTGATAACTAACCCTAAAATATCAAAGATTGTTGGGGCTTTAGCCTCCCCGCGCGTCCTCTTCATAAGGAAAAGCGCTTTTCTTTGTGTAGCGAATTTTCGTGTTTTTCCGTGATAGTATACTGCATGCCATTGTACATAATATACCGAAGTTCAAGCAAATTGAAGCTCTAATAATTGATGGCATGCACCCCGCAGCGGCCCAAGATGATCAAAGGGTTCTGAAAACCTGAAAAAAATTAAAGGGCAATTCCGTGTTTACAAATTGCATGCCAATGTAAAGAATGGAATTTTTTGTAATAAAAACACTCTGGAAAAATTGGCATGCACCCTTCGTATGACCAACGGTGGAAAATTTCCGGAAAAGTCTGTAAAAAGTGAACTCCAATTTTCCGTGATTCCAAACTGCATGCCATTGAAAGTATACTTAATTTGTATCATTATTTAATAGTAGAAAATTTGGCATGCACACCACGATGTTGCAAAATAGAGGCATGCATGGCGAAAGTTGCAAAAAACACTGTGCAAATTTAGGTGACTTGTTTTTGCATGCCGTTTTGTATTTCATGAATTTACATTATTTCAAGTCATGAACGTAAATAGCATGCATGTAGGTAGCTACAGCCCAACATACCAAAATTGTGGGAAAAATTGAATAAACATCAATTTTTCAATGGAAACAAAAAACTGAAAAATGACGTGACTTCTTCTTGCATGTCGCTTTGTATCGTGTTAGTAGATATTATTTTAAGCCGAAATGCGAAATGGCATGTAGCTTCATGATAATTGTTTAAATAAACAAAGAACGAGGTTTAGTATTTTTTTTTGAGTAAGATAAGTTATATATGAAATAAATATTAACAAAATTTATTTTAATATACTTATATAATCATTGATAAGCTGCATTTTTCTCATTGCATCAATCAATGTAGATAAAATAATTTTTGGAGCGCATTTTCGAATCTGAAAACCCTGCGAATCTAAAAGTATTGTTGAAATTATTAATAATTGAAAATAATTTGATAAAATCAGAAAACACTGAAAATAAGTTTCTATCGAATTTTATAAGACTTTTATGTGAAAAAATTTAAGTTTTTTAATTAAATCAGTTTTGAAGTTCGAATTTCGCGCTCAAGTTCCGCATTTTCGGGACGCCCATGTAAATTCACCCTTGTACGTCGACTAGCACGAGAGGTCGCTACTACCCTCGTAGACGCAACACTAGACGGGGGCGTTATTTCACATCACTAGATACAATAACTGGCTACGCGGCATGTAACCGAATCACTAGTTTCGAGTCATATTACAACTAGTGATTTTGTAAATGCGTTACTTATTACTGTTAACTGTGATTGTTGCGAGAGTCGACTGTCGGTCGGTCAAGCGCAAAGCGCATGGCATACAACTATAAATAAAACAGCTTATGTAACAGTATTATTGTAAGACTATATAAATAGACAATAAATAGTGATCTTCGTGTCAGTTCCGTTTGCGCGCCGCCCCCGAGCGGTCGTGCACACAGTTCTTTCGCGCCTCCGACCTTTCGGTAGCGCAACCGCTTGCCCGCGCGCCCCGCTCTCCCCGGCTAACACCGGCCGAGCAGACGCCGTTGGTGAGTCACTTTGTTTTCGCATCGTTCCTGCCCCCTTGCTCCGGCGGGGAGGCTTGAGCGCGCTTCGCTTGTTTTGTTTTATTTGTTAATTTTTCTGTTATTTTGTTATTGTTTTTGTTATACTGTTATTTGTTGTGTATACTATCCTTAGAGTAGATCGTCTCTTGCTCTTCTCAGAGCAAGCCCTTGTTCTTTTCAGAACATAGGGACCCCAGCTTCTGGGATAGAACGTCAGTCCTCCCCATCTGCCCCTAAGGCCCTGTTCTTCTCAGAACAGGGACCTCCAGAGTTCTTAGAATAAAAACGTCATCCCCCCCGTCCAGTCAACATGTCTTCAATGGATACTAGCCAAATTTTGGCCACGTCTTTTTCAACAATTTTTAAGAACCCAAGGCGTACGCCCTTGATAGCTTCTCGCCAATGAGCATTTACCCCCCGTGCCCCTAAGGCATGTGTACCCCCCGCCCGCCGTCGCTGCTTTCCTCGCGACCCAAGCGGCTGCCCCGCAGTCCGACTCACCCGCGTCCCCTGACTCCGATATGGAGCACTCGGACGCCACGTCCGTTACCTCATCCTCCCGGAAGAGGACCGCCCTCAGCTCCACCGGCTCCTCGGATTCTTCCGACTCCGAAGGAACCATAACCGACTCCCAAGCCGAATTCACGTTAGTGAAATCCAAGCGCGGCCCGAAACGCGCTGCCACTTCTCGCACTCCCCCGCCTCAGCGGCCGCCGCCGCCCGCACTCCCTCCGCCGCTGCCTCTACCTCCGCAGCTCCCATCGTTGCCCCTACTTCCGCAGCCCCAAATGCTGCCGCCTCACAGTCGAAAGACAATGCCGCCAAGCCAGCAACCCGCTGCGCTCCCGAATTGGCCAAAAACCAAGTCCCGCCCCCTGTCTTTCTCAGAGACAAGGCGAAATTTACTCAGCTGTCCAAAACCCTCTACGTTAGGGGTATCAAATACGACCAAGCCACTAATGTCGGCGAGGCCATCAAAATTATACCGGCGTCTATAGAAGACTTCCGAAACATAACCCGCCTATTCACGGCCGAGCGTGTGTCCTACCACACATACGCCCTTGCCGAAGAAAGGAAAGTGAAGGCTGTCCTCCGCGGAGTTCCCTATGAACTCGCAAACGAAGACATTCTGGAAGACCTCAAATCCCAAGGCTTCCCCATTGAAGGTGTGCATAAAATGCACAGCAGCAGGGGCGAAAGGTTTAACCTCGCCCTCCTCGTTCTCACCAATGTGCCGGAGGCGAAGGCCATTTTCCGCGAGGTACGCACTGTGTGCGGCCTGTCGCGTGTTAAGGTCGAAGCCCCTCACCGGCGCGGTTACCCAGCGCAGTGCCACCGCTGCCAACTTTATGGTCACGCGGCAGCCAACTGCTCAGCTCCACCCAGGTGCATTAAGTGCCTAGAACCCCATCACTCGAAAGAGTGCCCACGGCCCAAAAACGCCGAATC